TTTTTTTTTTTTTTTTTTTTGTCATTATGTCACAAAAGAAAATCTTAAAAGTGTGGTGTGCATTTTTTATTTGTCCCATGTTCTCTGATAAACCTAAATAAAATGAAATACAACGACCTGGCCTCAGAAGTAAACTAATTAGCTAGCAGATCTACTCACGCAGACTATGTAATGTTTGCTTACATTAGTGAACACAAAAATATGGAACTCAAATGCGCACAGCAGAAAGGTCAGGGAGTAAATGTAAAAACAGGTTAAGGTTAGTAAGCAATAGACCAAACCTTGAATAGCTCAGTGCAATGTCTGATTCACCAGCTGAAAACAGAGCCGTCCACCTAAACGTGACGTGCTGAGACAGGAGATTATTAAGAAAAGAAGTAGCTGAAAGACTTTTGGTAACCCGGGTGTAGGAGCAAATATCAGAAGGAAGATTCTGCTGACCAAATCTCTCCAATTAATTGTTGAGGGAAAGCTATAAGAAGTCCTGTTAGCTAGTTAGCTACAAGTCTTAGGGGACACAGAAAACATAAGAAAGAGGGTTTAATAATAATAAAAAAAAAGCACAAAAATGCTCTTCAGATTTTTATTTCTGAAAATATTTTGTGCTTCTTAGTTTTGGTCCCTCACCCAAAATCCCAATGTATATCCTGATACTAAATGGTTCGTGGAGTATGACTGCTTTTACAAGGCACCACTGTAGATGACTTCTGGCCATGGAGGCTGTTTGGGGTACAGTATTAAACAGAAATACAATGTACCACATAACAGCTTGAATTAGACTTTGAGAGAGCTTTAATAGAAAACTTATTTGCATGCAGCAGATGAGAGGACACTGATGAGACAAGTCTTTGGCACGCTGCGGGACACTTACGGAGCTTCAAACGATTCATTAGCCTTCAGCACAAAGAAGACGCTAATTAAAATCCACGGCTGACGCTCCAGAACAGCATGCTCTTTAAATAGCATTTCGCTCCATAAATGACCCCATCGGAATCTATTTTTGGGACGTGTACGGTGTACCACGACATATGTGGTGGCAGTCAGCGGGTTAGGTGAAGCGTGGGTCCAATTAATGAGCTCAGTGAAGCGGCACCTTTGAAAAAATACCACTTGGAGTCCAGAGGGGAAAAGGCAGCAGCTTCTATCGCCCGAGGGAGGCCAGGCCAGCGCTGGCGGAGGAGGAGCGGGTCGCTCACGCTGCCTTCGGGCGATACCGTCCAGAACCGGCTGCCCCGGAACACCAGCACCGTCTGCTTCTCATCTAGACGCACGTAATGGCAAGAAATAAAGCATTTTACATTAAAACAAACACAAAATCCAGTACCTTTTTGCGCAATATTTCATCTGGACCTCACCCACAGTGATGGCATCAAAGATCCCCTGGCAGTACAGAGGCAGTCCTAGGTTCTGGTTCTGGAGCTCGGTGAACTCCCACTCCTGCAGCGCGGCGTGTAATACCTGTCCAGGCAACCTGACCGGGAGATTACCCAACGGTTTCCCTGAAAGCAGAAGCAAAGCCACCCGTCGGTCAAAGCGAAGGCGTCAGACAGGACCGGAGGAATCCGTCTGATGCCGCTTTAATGACTGCGCTGAAAAAAATTCTCAGGACTCTTTGGGTTTGTCTCATTTCCCCTCTGTGTTAGACGCAATTAAAAGGGTTTTATAAATCAGACGCTATGGGAGATTAAACATGCAGTATATCCAAGTGGGAGACTAGGAGAATGCTAACATTTAAATTGTTCCTTACAGGATGTGGTGAAGTCGATGTAAACCGATGGATCACGTCGGTACAGCGCAGGAAATAAACACAAGACTTTAGATAAAGCACACAGTGGAATCCTGAACAAATCAGTTTCAGTGTAACACTGAAAGGTCGTCCATCCACAGATCTTTAGGCTTTAGCACTTTATAATAGATGCATGCCCTGCAGATGAAGGCATTCAGAACAAAACGAACAGAACAAGGCCACAAGTAAACAATGGCTGCTTGAGCTTGATTATAGTCATTTTGTCGGCAAAGAGCTGGGCAAATATTTGCGTGAGAGTCGGATAAGATCAGCATCCCAATGAACTGGAGGAAGACTGCAGGAAAAATAGATAAATACACACCACAATGGATGGCAGGAGAGAGATAAGGTCTGGAAGTCTGACTTCGCTCAAACATAAAAACGCTCTCATAGACGAAATGTTTTCAAAAACTTTCCCGGTGAAATCATTTTCCAAACTGTTTATTATTTCCTCCCCGCCCCCCTCTTAAAAAAAATCACTCTTTGTTTTAGATGTTTGGATGTCAAGATGTATATCAAATTGTTGAGGAAGTTTCCCAACTCTTGAAGAATGTTGCGCCATGAGAAGACACAGCTAGCGTTTGTGGACAGTTGCATGATGTGTTCACTGACGCTGGGTTATCTTACTGATTCTGAGCCCCAAATAGAATAATTTTAATTCTGAACAGGCAAGAGACTGAATAACTTTACAATTAAAGGCACCTGTAAGAACTACATTAGTATTTTGTTAACTATGAACATAAGTTGTTTCTAATGAGAGGCCCTATCAACATTTTTACAGTCCTATTTGAATAAAATATGTTCAAAGGAACAATTTATTAATTGCATTCCAGGTTAAGAAGACCTTATCAATGCTGACTGATTCATTCTGCCGTGAACATGCTTCTCCTGGACCTGCAGGACAGCAGCAAGTCAGAGCAGCAGGAGAGGTTCTCTCACAAACACGATTACGTCTGGCTGAAGGTTTTTCCGCAGCGCCAGCAGTCCTGCCTGTATCCGTGTGAGAAGCTGCTTGACATTTACGTGGGAGCAGCTGCAGAAATTACAGCCACAGGGTAGAAATTACACACAGTGTGTGTGTGTGTGTGTGGAGCGGGGCGGGGGGGAATCCAGCTGCAGTTTGCTAAGCTACACCTGAGTGGCAAACAATAAAACTTATTAGGAAACAAAAAGGCAGCAAAATTGTAAAGACTAATCAATGTATTTTGCAGATTTTTGAATAAGATCGGGCGAGGGACGCTTCTGAATCTAATTCGAGAAGCCGAGAACAAAATGTGTCCAGAGGCCAAGCAGATGGGACTTCTTGGATAAGTTGGAAGGGAGGCATCCAGAGACGGCCTGCCTGCCTGCAAGCTTCTCCTGAGCCCAGTCTCAAGTTCAGAGCTGCATTACACAAATGATTGTGAGACTGTCCTGCAGGCACGAAGGCATTCCTGCAGAGTGCAGCTGCTGTGCACCTGAGGCTCAGGGTCAAAGCAGAGAAAGATCTCACAGATTCAAGAGCAACACCTTATCACTGAGGCGACCAAGGAACTGTTTGGTGTGAAAAGACGCGATGATGTGTTCTTGTTTTGTTTTGTTTTTTCCCCAAATGTTGCAGCGAATCCATTTTCCAAGAAGGTGGAAAAGAAACAACAATGCAGAACGACGCATGTGGAAACCTGCCTTTGCGCATGCCAGGAGTTACGGCACACTCCCTGGAAACAAAAAAAAAAAAAAAACTGTTGTACAGACACACGCACAATCACGAGGAGATGCTCCTACAGCAGCCGTCTATCACAACAGAGCTGACAGAAACGCTGGGAGACACAAACAGGCCTCTGAGTGTGTTACATGAAGCTCGTAGCATTAAATCTGCGTAAGAGAGGTCAGAGAGCGAACCCCATCCTGCTACGAAGATAAACTCAGCACAGAGAGGGGATGTTGTGGTTTGGATTAGAAGCTGTTCCCAAGTTTGCCAGGAATTCAGAGAAACTTGCAGATTGCAGAAAGTCCTCTGCTCTTCGCACCAGGCCTCTCGGTTGAAGCGTCGAAGCTGTGAGGTTGATTACACAAAGGCTCTGAATGTGTACACTCAATCACCATGAGCCAAACAGAAGTCAGCTTTCGACCATTTCTCATTTTCAACCCATTTGCGAAAACAAGCCCAAAGTGAAGTGCCGTCCGTAAATATGCCGCTTCTGCTCACACCTGTTTGGCTCCTCTCTATATCCCCGTTATGGAGTCACGATACAACGTGCAGCTTTGATAATATCTAAAAACACAAAAGAGTGCGCAAAGTTGAACTTTAAGTCTAACTTGAGCTCAAGTATATTGCTGTGCGTAAAGTTGGGATCGTTGTCACTGGGATCACTGATGATGAAACGCCAAGTTGTGTCCAAGTTTCAACCATCCAGTTCAAGTAGAAGAAGAAGAAGCTTTATTTATATAGCACTTTTTCAGCAACAAGGCAGCTTAAAGTGCTTCAAGGTTTTTTACATTAAGGTCTTAAAGGGGCCCCATTAAGAGCCCTTTAAAACCAAACAACTTTATAATAAATTCCAGCAATTTGTCCACAGAAAGTGGACCTTTTCTGTATCCAAGGATACACAAAGAGCTTGTTTTCTATTGCTAGGAGACATTTGTCATATATTATTTATCTACTTATTTTGGAATATATGTATGTGTGTATAAATGTGTTGAAAACACACACTAAATTCAAACTTTTGTACCATTACTGTACAGCATACAGTCATTGCGAGGATTTATAGTGTACAGTCATTCCCCTCTGAACAAAAAAAAAAAAGACCCGAAAAGGACATTTACATCTAGAATGAATGGACGTAAACCTCTGACATCTGTATGCAGCCAGTCGCTGTCTGACCTTTTCTTGCCTGGTCTGATCCTGATTTAATGAGTGGCATTACAAAAGGATTATTTTACACCAGGGTCTCCTCAAAGACAGTCTGCTTTCATAACCATTATGGGTTCCATCCTTTGTTATGTCCTTGAAGCCAGACAGATTTGTCATTCGGACATTGAATCCGCGCCCAGCCCACCGTCGCGTCGCAGAGCGAACATGTTCTCACCGTACAGCTGCTGCACTGCAAGGATGTCGTCCCAGCTCAGGACCAGGCGGCGGCCCAGCTTCCTGTAGTACGGCGACATCAGAGCGTGCCGCACAGGGGAGTGCTCCAGGCCCAGAGTGTGTCCGATCTCATGGGCGGTCACCATGAACAAGTTGTGGCCCTTGTGTCCATTCAGCGTCCATCTCTCCGCCATGTCGAAGTGGGCTTCCCCTCTGCGAGGCAGGAAGGCGTGAGCCAACGTCCCACCTGAATGTCAGACATGAGACGGTTGCATATTTTACCGTGTTACAGCCGTCTGCTGCACCTGCACAGACCGGTTCGTGTCCGACCGGTGCTGCAAACTGTTATCGTGCAATTAGCTTAAGATTAACAAGGGAACAACAGTAAATTTATTAAACAGTAATTCATTTACTGTTTAAATTTATTAAACAGTAAATGTAATAAATGTACTGTTATTAAAACATAATAACAGTACATTTGAAATCAAAGTGCCATATTCGTTTTGTTCAGGCTGTGACTCCGACCTGGTCCGTCAAAGGCATTACTGGCCCCGTCGTTGTGGTCCCCCTCATAAAAAGCCAGCCGAATGTCTGCGGGGCCCTCGGGGGCCTCCCTGAACACCAGGTCAGACACGTTACTCCAAAGCTGGAAAGCAGTTCGCACGGCCAGCCGGACGGAGCCCAGAGACAGGTGGCGCGGCCAGTTGACTATCTGGTAGGTCAGCTGTCGCTTGTACCACTTCTCAGCTGAAAAACAAACCGAAGAGCAACAGACAGATGTAAATGATGGGTTGATGCAGGCAGTCATGTTAAGTATAATTTGGCAAAATGATAGCAATGTGATTATTATTGAAAATGCAATTGAAAATACATCAACCAGCTCTAGTGGTATGCGTACGTTACCGTGGTGACGGAGATGAATAGTCTGAAAGGAGTTAAATGCTAAGTGAGACCTGTAGAGTCTAAGGCGTAGCGCTTGTATTGCTATTCCACCAGCTGGCTTTCCAGTTTACTGTGCCAAAAATATTTTCTCTCCTGAGAGGAAATTACTGTAATATCATTGTGACTGGATGATGAGTGGGATTCAGTAGTTTGGAAACAGCCTTACAAGTCTTTCCAGGTTCATGTGAAATTGCTCCTGATGTATTTCCCTCTTGACACATGTATGCTTCAGAACAGCAGACAGTCAAAATGTTCACAGAGCCAGTCAAATTTGCTGATGATCATCTAATCAGATGCCTTTGATTAACAGCACTTGGCTGCTTCTTTTTCTCTTAAATGAAGTTTAGGCAGGTATGGTGTACTTATTTCCCCCCAGGACTGTTTTGACATTAATGGAAATATCACTTTCCTCTGGTTTTATGCCAAATTATTGTAGGTTTAGTCTTTTTTTTTTAAATGGAAAGTACTTTCGGGAATATGTCAAATGGTAAATAAATAAATAAATAAATAAATAAATAAATAAATAAATAAATCTGCATCTAACTGCATAGAAGAGTAAGTGATCTACTGAGTGAAACAAACATGTTATAATATAGAAAAATCACCAGAATCCAAAACAAATATTATGACTCTTTGTATATGTTTTCTTATTAATATAAAGTTACATTAGCCAAGTTCTATTGAAGTCTTAATAAATTCACAGGTTTTAACATATTTATAATAATCTTACGGACATATTCAAGGATTGTGAAAGTGCTTTCCTTAAGGGCTTTTCTCCCGTCCCCAAGTTTCTCTATTGTATAACAATCCAGTATGAATCTTCAGGAAACGTTTCCTGGAGGTTCCCTGAAGGTGGCCGCCTGCTGTCGTTCTTCAATTAAACATTCATTTGTCAGGCTCCTATTTGAAGAAGATGAACAGGCTGTGTGAAAATCACAGGATGTGTTACCCGTGTCAGCTTCCAGCTGAGCAAACGATCAAAGTCCTGGCTCGACCGAACGTTTGACCTCAACACGAGTCTGCGGCTTCTGCGCTTGGACTTAATTACACGTGTCGCTGGCTTCTCACATTTGTTCAGTGACAGAAAAATACGGGGCGAAATGAAAGCAATCTTTAATTTGCTTGCAGTCTAATCTGTTGCGTCCACACAATTACACGACGTAGCTGTGCGGAGTCTGAGCCGATACAAGAGCAAACACTCATTAGGTAATATGAGTGTTTCAGGAGATGCAGCTGCTGGTTTACTCAGAGGAAGGAGGGAAGCATCTTCACAGACGTACACCTGTTCAACGGCTTGTTAACCAGAAATGGGAGATCAGTCAAACAGGTGGCGGCAACTCGCTGCGTTGCGGCATCTGGATGTGGAGGAGTCAACTTGCTAAGGCTTGAGCCAAGCAACAGAATGAGAAATTTAAGAATGAGATCAATCGACACCAAATCTGCAAACAATGTTTCTGACGCTTTGTTGAATCTCTGCCTAGAAGACCTGAGGCAGCTCTGAAAGGTCAAAGAAGGCCCAACACAGTATTGTTAATCCTTTTAATACCCGCCTCATGCATTTCACCCTACAGTCCCAAGATTATCCTATTGGAGTTTTCTTGTTAAATACAAGTGATGTTGTTCCAAAGCTTTCAGCGGAAAGTCTGAGAGAGAGACATCACCTGAATGTAACAGCATGTAAACCCTGCAGCAAGGCGAACACTTTCTGAAACTGAGCAAAAGGCAGTTTCAACTAAATCTGCTGCAAATTTGCACTTCAGATCGTAGCAGGCATTAAGGTCTCGCACACACTTTCTGAAGCGGTCATTTGTCTATAAATTGGCATCCTGAATCACGCATGTTTACGCTTGTCAAAATATGTTTAAATGCAGGTGGGAAACTGTTGCTTATGCAAACAGTCTCCTAAGCCCTGCAGAAAGCTTTGTTTGAGCCACGCTTAATGTCATTTGCACATTTTCTGAAACAATGCGCAGCAGAAAGGGGATGCAGGTGACCCGCAAGAGTTAAATGAGTATTGCACTCTGCAAATTGCAGAGAGGCCCAAACAACACCCCGGAGACTGGAAAATATCTGGATATCTAGACCCATTAAGGCATGGGTTTGGCAGTGACATCAGTTTGTGTTTCCTTGTGAGTAAACACACAAACAGAGGCTTGTGTCTTAGCAGCAACATGACTGCAACATGTGTTGGATTGCAGATATTTTGAGTCTTAAAACTATTCAACAGGAGAACTAGAAGTACCCAGGAATGGCTTGTAAAAGTGATGCTAGATGTTAAAAGAAGGGAATTGTTTCTTTTAGAGGTGCTATTGTGGCCCATGTGTTCTCCAGTAAAAAAAAATCAAAGAGGAAAAACTCCACATTTTCAGTCTCTTTTCTAAGTTCTCAAAAGAGCGACTTGCATTCAGGCTGCAGCCAGACGGCATGCGCCGGCCTGCATCCTGAGCTTGGACTCCTCACCGTCCCAGACCTCCACAGCACAACGGGTCCCCCGAGAACTTTGGACGAGCCAGGAAGTCCGACACACAAAACATTCCAAGACTTCCCTTATGGAAGCAATTACCAGGGTGCCCCCTATGGCTGAGATACAGAAGGGAGCGAGATCTTCTGATAGCCGAAGTTATTGTTGTTATTGTGATGGAGTAGAGGGAGTTTGGCTTGCAAGCAGCGTTAAGAAACAAGATTTCTCTGACTGCAAGGTCAAACTGTTCCGACTCCGAGGTCACATCAGGAGGGTGTTTTGTCTGGGCACCGAGAGTTGATCATATGTGAGAACTCCAGCAACACTTTAGTAAGAGACCGATGCATATTTAGGCAAAAAAAAAGACAAAAAGTTGTTTCTAAAGTGTAGCTGGAGTCTTCATGTTACCAACATTTTTATCCCTTTTTTGTGCACATTTGACGGTTGTGCCCGAAAACATTTGCTTTTTAATGCAACATTTGATATACCAAGTTTCTTGTCGTTAATAGATTCGTCCAGTTAGATGGAGTCCTGCCACAGGAGAAGCTCACAAGTGCTGGAGGGATCATCTTAACAGACAAGAAAACAAAATTATCAAAATATGCATTTATTACCACTGATATAATCAACGCAAAACACGATACCTATTCGATAGTGAAATATAAAGACATAAGGGATGACCCGGGACTTTTGCACAGGACTACATATCGTTCAGTCCACGTCGTTAAGGACACACCTCTGAATAACATACACACACCTACTGTGCTTTCATCGCTCGTGAGCCAGGTGGAATGTGAGTTCTGTAAATATTCAACATTCCTCAGGCTGAGGTTTGCTCTTTAATTTCCTGGAAGCTGGGAGCCAGCAGCCATGTTCCTTCTTGACAAGATCACACCGCAGCAGAGAGGATCCGCTTCATCTTAGTGCTAATGCAGCTGTCAGCTTCATCTGACAGTGTCTGCAGCAGAAGACAAATCCTTGTTGTTCAAATATCGACTTCAAATACCAAAAGCAAATGTATTTTCTTGGTATTTTTGTCATCAACAGTATATATGTGATTATTTCCCATAGTTGTACATGTTTGCAGACATATCGTGCAGGCAAAGTGAGAGTGTGAAAAGGCGCCATGTTCAGAGGCTTTGAAAAAGCTTAAGTCAGAAAGTTTAATTTTCTAAGATAAGGATCAAGTGTTCTTCAAAAACAATTGCTCTTTGATAACATATATTATAGTATTTTTGAGTCACAAAGAAGCAGTACACAGACTTATCTGTCTGGCTCAAGCTATGAAAAACGGTGTCCTGAAAAACTCCATTATTTAACTAATCGTTTCCATAAAGTGAGACTTTTAGCTGCTTCCATTCACTTTTTTTTTTTTACCATCAAATCAGAGTTACTGAGATGAACAGGACTTAAATATACGTCAGGGTGAAACTGTCATAACAACCAGAGCAGAAATTGCATCCGAGTAAGAAATCATATCATGAATGCTGTCAGACTTGATTTTTGTAATAATTTAGTCATAAGTGGACATGATGCCACAGACTTCCTTATCCTCACTGGACAAATCAACATAGGAATTTTCACCCCATGCACTCATATTTGAACTGCAGACTCTGCTATCAGTTCTCTAATGATACAGATTGTATTCCAATCAAATCTCATAATTCAGGGCTGTAACTGTAACCATATCACTCTGCGGAAACGCTGGCCGGCTTTTTTTATATGCATTTCTCACCATGCAATATGACATTTCCATTGTGATACTGCATGATGATGATCTTGACTCTTAGCGTAAGCCAAGATCAGTTAATAAAAACGCTGTCTCCGAGAGGTTTAACCTGAAGGTGTGAGGGAATCTGCGATGCATTATGTCTCAGGCTAAAACAGAAACACTCTGATGGCGTCCAAAACAGCGAGATACGAGCCTGTTCCGCCTGTATGATTTGGGCCCTCTAATGGGCGACCAGTTCAGCAAACAACACAATGCAGTCTCTGAGTTGCGGACGTGTTTACCAGAGGGAACACTTCAGGTACTGACATGAAGAAGCAGCAGCAAACATCGGCTGCCACTGCAGCGACTGCATTCCCCAAACATTAACTAACGCTGCCAGGGACATGGAGGCATGCAGAGGCTTTGCACCTCATCGGGACGGAGGCGCGAGCAGCCAGAGAGGGACGTAGGTTGGAAAGCGACGTTTTGCTTCTGGGATGCTGAAAATTTGAATTCACAGACAGATGAAGGTCAGATACAGATTGAGCCAGATAGTGAGGGGGGAGGAGAGGGAGGGTTGCCTGAGAAGAAAACTGCAGCAGTTATTTCTTGAGTTTGTGTTCGGCTATCGCATTTCCATCAGCTGGATATAAATTACACCCTTTACTACCACATGAAGATTTTCTCTAAATCACCCCAAACTGAGAGAGTGGGAGAGCCTGAGCTCAATTACTAAAAAAAAAAAAAAAAAGAAGAAGTTTGGCAGAGCTCGGCTGCACTCTTTAGACATCGATAAACACAGCAGCAGGAAATTGTGATAATAATCTGTCATTGGTCACAGCGAGAGAAGGCAGTTAGAGAGCGCAGCTTACAATATCAGTGAGGAGCGTTCATCCACTCATCATACAGAATAATGTACAATTAACCTGGGGCTTTTAAAGACTCATTTGAAATGCTCTCTGCAGCGCAGAACCACTGTGAAACAAAAAAAAAAACCTTCAGTCATTCCTAAAATAATGTGTGCAGAAGTTTATATTTATTGTGGATTTTGTGTATTCCAAACAGGGCAGGGATTACTGTCAGCAGTTATGGCTCAGGTATTCATATTCACTCCCAGTAATTAGTGGATAAATGCCCCGTTCAAAGGTGCAATTTAACCAAAACACACAATGTGGACAACAACAAGCTTCTGGGATCATTTAACGACTCCTCTTGTCATTAGTGGTGGAGATTATTTAAATTAGGTGGTTTCTTGACAGACTTTTAATCGCAGCCCAACATTTGAGTTGAGGTTGGTGCCGACCTTGAAGCAAAATGTTAGTCTTTCATTATCCACCTCAAAGCTGGCTTAATGTGTGTTTGGAATCGTTTTCCAGTTGCGGTTCATTCGAGGTGAAGTTGAGCTAGTTATAGGTAGTCCTCCATCTTTATTCTCCCATCTGTTCAAGCAATGCAGCAGTCCCACTGCTAGCGTTGCAGCATGATACTTGCCACTACCATGCAGTATCGTGCATGATACTGCATGGTACATGCACACACATTTTTTGTATTTTAGCTGCATATTTATCTCGTCTGCCCATAAAATCTTCCTTCAGAAAACATTTTTTTTCTCATCCGTGTGGAAGGCTGCGAACTTGCATGGAACTTGAAAGCGTCAATTTCAGAGGAAGTGAACCTTTATGTAATTGAACCTGACATAACGGTTCACTGATATCAGCCTTTATGTCAGTGATGAAGAAAATGTTGATAGTGGTCTGGTGTTTTAGTTGTTTTCAGTTTATTATAGACTGAAAACCAATTATAGACCTGAACCGGGTTCAGGTCTATAATTGGTCCCCCCGTTAACATTATCATTCATTTTCCTTTCATCTGTAGATGCAACAAAATGAACATTTAGATGTTTAAATGGATAAATTCAGCTTTTGGAATAACTTTCCTAAAGTATCCCCTTAGACCCTGCTGAAAGCAAATAAAATACTGAAAGTCCGGTCTTTGCCAGAAAGCAACCGTTTCAAATTAACGTCACCGTTACTGATAAGAAGAGAGATCCCACACCCAAGCAGAATTTTACCAGAACCACTCTGAAGGTAAAAACGTGTAAGTTGTCAATCTGCAACTTGCTAAGGAAAATTAAGCAAAGATATTACTGGAGGTATTTCACCCTGGAGCTAAGAATGCTGCTGTTTGAAAAACCTTGCATTTCTCAAAAATCACAGAAACACTGATCAAACAGGGTTAATGACTCCTTGAAGGAAGCAATCTTTAGACTTTCCCAGGATAGAGAAAATGGCTGAACAACTCTGTTTCCAAAACAAGGTGAGACAGCAGATTAAATGTAAATAAAAGCAGGATTTCACTCTTTTTTTCTGAAGAGTTCCATGTTGCAGATTTGAAGTTAAGAACAAGCTTCGATGGCTGTGACAGAATCAGATTTACCCCTATGAGCCATTATCTGTTGTCTTTTAACAAATCTGTGAAAATGACTTATGTGTAATATCTGATGAAACATTCAAATTCTATTAAAAAAAAAAGTTGCAAAACTCTATGCACAATCTTCACTGCTAAAAAGCTTTTTTTTAAAATCAAATCAGTTATCATGAGAGTCAGGAGATGTTGCAGCACTTTCGACAGCATGAAACAATTTTTCAGGTCCTTTCTTGTTTTGAAACCTCAATTGAGCATATAGTTTAAAAAAATGTTTGACAGATTAAGATGAATATTAGCAGTAAGTGAATAACTGCTGTGTTTTGCTGAAAATATTTTACAAACAACAAATCATCTGAAGTGGCATGATTGCTGCTAAACCGCCAGAAGCTTTTCAGTCGGTATCAGACATTCCAGCGTCTTTATTTACAACCCTCAGCTCTGCTTGGTGCTTTATTAAGGTGGGACCTCCCAGTTAACTGTTGGTCTGTCTAAGACCAAAAAAGGACACACGCACTCACACAACACCTCCAGAGGACAGCTCTTTATCTTCTCAGATATTCTACATAAACATGCCTCTAATTCTTCACCAGCGTCACATCTCGAAGGTCTGAAGGTTTCACGAATTACCTTGGTCTGCAGAGCGCCTCCTACGGTGCTGCAGTTGTCTTTTCCCAGTAAAGATGACATTCACCCTCTGGGCCCAGACCTGCTGGCTGCCCTCGTCTGACACCCCACAGCGGGGCTCTGCCATCTGCCTCAGGGTGGCGCTGTCAAGTTGCCCTGTGATGGGGAGACGGGAGAGCCACTGGTACTCTCTGCAGAGAGAGGAAACCACTTCTCAGTGTTGGAAATGCAATCAGGAGGCCCATCAGTGTGCAAGTCACAAAGCAAATCTATAAGCTGTCGTGGTGGGCAAAGCTTTCTACTCTGCTCTCGGTTAGCAACACAGAGAGGTTCGTAGCATTCCTGAATGGCTCAGAGAGGGTTCGGGACATGATTCCAGTCCAGACATGGGGGGGGGGAGGTGTTTTATGGTCCCGTGGTGTCGTACAGCCCTGAGGCCAGTCCCACTCCAGGTTAACCCTCACCCTGATGAGGAGCACCAAACACGAGCAGCGGCTCCAACAAAATGACAAACTCTCAGGTCTACTCTGCGATTCCTACACTCGTTAGAGACCCAACTTTAACGTCACTCACCTGACGGCTGATTGCACTTCAACTGCATTGTGAATCTGATGCTCATGATGGAGATATCCATACTTCTCCAGAAAATCCTGCAAAGGCAGAAACAATTATTCTGCTTGCCAATGTAATTATTAATGATGTTTTTCGTTTGTACCTGAAGTAAATTAATAAGAATATACATTATGATAGGCATGTGATCGATGTCAATACATAATACGTGTGATAGAATATTCAATACTTTCACATGACTCCAATCCAGAACATCAGAGCATTCTGGGAGATGTAGGCAGAGGAATGGTTTAGCTGCCTAATTATTTCACAAAGAAAACATGATTTGAAGTGGCATCATTCCTGTCTCTAACCATATTGAGAAGTTGGTTGGTGTCATCAACTAACTCGCTCTTGCTCTGGTTACCTAGCAACACCCTTTTGAGTAACTTGCCGGCAGCAGTTACGAGCACCGTTTCTCATAATTGCTGAAAAACAACGACATGGAGTGAAAACTGGATGTCTGGAAAGGCCATGACACCAGTTCGGCTGTGTTTCAGATGTTTAAAACAAAAAAACTAATCAATAATTATCGATATTGATTGATATGAAACTTTTATACCGTAATACGTTTTTCAGCCCTAAAAAGCACACACATTTTTTTGTTGTTGTTGTTGTTGATCTACAGTATATTAATTGATATCTTCATGAAAGGGACCACACATACACCTAAAAACCCCTGAGGTGTCCCTAAAATCCAGAGGTATTATTTGGAAAGTATTTCCTCCAAACATGGAACTCAAGAGGAGCTCCAGAGTTTAACACAAAAGGAAACATGTTTCAAATGACGCCACGGGGAACAAGACAACAGATGTTGCATGCGGGTTTATGATTGACCATAATTTGATAGCTATAGGTGCATGCAGGAGATTTCATGTTCAGACAACGGCAGCCGCGACAGTGATTACAGATGTACAGGAGCTGGAGGAGGAAATGAGAATCGGGGAATATGACACATAAACCAGGAGTGTGAAAGCTTCTTTGTTCCACATGAGACACAAAAATGTCAGGAGGTTTTGCTCAGAGATGAGAGTGAGATTAGGTCTGCTGCTCATGTGTCTATAAGCAGAGTGATGCAAATGAAATCAGTCTGTCATATCACTTTATTACACTCACCGTCAATTCTGGGACGAAAGATTGACATTGATGAAAAGCAATATCTGAAATTCTGTCCGTAGCCGAAGTGCGTTTAAACTGAAAAGCAGTGTGTGTCTTACGACTTAATGATTTTATTGGTATAATTTACTTACCATTTGTCTCATCATAATTACAAATTTCCATGGATTTTTATTAGATTTTCTGTGATCGACCAACACAAACTGGTGCACAACTGTCGGTAAAAAATGCAAAATTGTATTTATATGCATACGTATACAAATATAATACTAGTGTATCCATTTGTATTCAGCTTTTCACATCTGCATTTTGCTGCAATTCAAGCAACAAGTCTGTTGGGGTGTCCTTTGTGTATATCATTTTTTTTAAGTCTTGCCACAGGTTCTCTATAGGATTTAGGTCTTGACTTTGAGTCATTCAGCCAGTGTGTGCTTCAGTCTCCGTTTTTCTGTCATAAAAGGTGCTATAAATGGTTTTATTGACTGATTAATTTGTCTATTCACCTCTTGGTATATTGCTAATTTTGCAAGAAATCTAGTACACATGAACAAAAGTTGTTGCATGCAACAATGCTCTTTATGTTTCTAAGGGAGTCTGAATTTTAACTTCATGCCATGTTCTGATGTTGTTCTAGACACTACAGCTGCAGCATACACAAATCCCTCTGAGTTGATACTTTACCAGACATTTAATGCAACATTCTAATTTAAAGCAACAAATAAGTATGTAGTAAAGTATGTCATGCTCTCTGCTAGGCATAGTGAAGGATCTGTGATGCTGTGGGCTTGTTTGTCTTCCAAAACGTATGCAAACCTTGATAGAGTCAAACAATTTTCAATAAAAAAAAGCTGATGTATTCTGCCAGTAAGCTAATTATAGGTTGACACCGAGTCTTTCCTCTGAAAAAAGAAAAAAATCAAACCCAAATTGTAAAATAAACAGAAATGGTTTGTCACACACAAAATCAACTGTTTTCCACAATTCCCAGACGTAAATCCTAAAGAAAACCTGTTGAGCAGAAAAAAAATTGTCCTACTGTCCGAAGAGACAAAGGAGAAAGCACCAAACCATAATTGTGCCATGTGAAATTTTGTTAAAAACATTGAATTTCTTCAACAAGTCACAAAAATTAGTCCAATAAAGGTTGGACTTTTCTGCATTTTTGAGTTTGTGCAAAGTTTTAAAGTTTTTTTTTTATTATTATTTTTACATGTAATAAATATGGTCAACCTTGTGTTCCTCCAGGAAGAAAATCACATTACACTATTCTGTTATTCATTACTCATGAGTTTCTGAAGTGAAATCCCATCCCCTCCTTAAGTAGATTTCAAATGTACAAGTTTTCCCCCTTAAACAAGTTAGATTTTTTAATTTTCCTATACAACGAATTTGCTTTCAGTAACCAAATGGCAACATTACACGGGTCATCGGGTGAGTGAGAGTTCAGTTCAGTACCTCTGGATCCAGGAGCAGCGGTGATCCCCGGGCGGTGTTGGCGGCCAGCAGCGCTGTCACCGCCAGGACCCAGAGCCTCATGTCCCGCCCGGAGGTCGGCGGCTCATGGCGGGATGAGCACACCGTCAGCACAGCGCGCATTTCTGCTCAACGCCCGCTGGTCTCCTCATGGTTAAATATGCTGTCAGTCCCAGAGAGCTCACACAGCTGATCTGCATCCCTGACAGCCGCTCTGAGCGCTGTGGGAGGAGGAGGTGGAAGAGCACCGCCCCTCTGATCGCTCAGGGCGAAATACCAGCGGGGCAAACAAACACACCGGTCGGCTGCTTTAAAAACGTGGACAGACCTCCGAATTCTTCATGTAAAAAATATATGATTTAATTTACAGCCTAAATTAAATCTAAAACTTTGAAAGCGTCAAATCTGACCGTAAAGAGGATTTTAGTACAAAAATAGTCTGATATAATACTTGGTTTGGGCTCCTCCTGCCTCTGCGCAGTTTGACTTGATCACCCTGAGGTGTTCAGCTCAGATTGTTTGGTCTGGTAAAACTATTAAGCTGATCAGCAGGAGAGAACATATTGTAAAACTTTCTGGTAGATATTTGCACCGACTTGATTCAAGTGGTCCAGATCATCCCAGACGGTGGGAATCTCAAGTGACACCCTGTGCCTCTCCACTTTCTCCAGACTGTCGCCTTGGTTTCAAAATAAAAATCCCAAACTTGACGTAGATCATGTCATGGACAAAGTGGGGAGTGGTTCTTAAGGCTGATTTCAGCTGCTGGCCCACACCTTAAAACCATCCAGAACTCTAAAATGGGTTTTTGCTTTAAATCCCTTCAGTTTTCCATGAATATGCTTGAGAACATTAAACAGATTCTTCCATACATTTGGTGTAAAACATCAAACTTCTGATTTATACTACCTTCACTGTTCAAATCACTTAACTTTGTTTATAGTTCATTTAGATGCACTTGAAAAGAGACTGAAAAACAACCAGATTTAATAAGATTTTTTTTAAAGAAGTCAGAAAGAACATAGGTAAAACATTTTATTCCATTCATACAAAAAAAAAGACAGTCTAGCTCAAACCATCTGCATCTACAGTCAAAGGGAACAAAAATGTACAGAAATAATAAAAAAAAAAAAAAAACGTGACAACATGCCAACAGTGCCAATCAGCCCCCAAACCTCTTCACATTAGCTCAATGCATCCCTCAATCACAGATGAACAGTAATACTTAGGATGAATAAGCTAAAAAAGACTAATGATGAGTTATTAACCCTCCCACAAGTGTTTCTCTACACTAGAACCCCTCCCCTCCCTCCAATGGCAAAGACGAGGGCTGGAATGGTGTCTTTCAACTCCTAGTATGGCCGGTCTCTTCTGTCGTCTCGTCGGTCACCCCTGAGGAGAAAGGACAGAGGATGTGCCATGAGCTGAATTCTTAAAAGGCCATTCACTCGTGTCATTGGACAAGCAGCAATTAAATAAAGGGAGACGTGATGTCAAGCTTGCATCCTGAATCTCAAGGATATTGTACGTCCTTCCACAGACGGTTTTACATCACTTTGTTTCTCCTAAACATAAATTAGAGCGTCCTTTAACAAGGTCATAGAGGGTAAACAAAAAAAGACAATGAAATTTAATTTCATGAAATCCATTCACAGTATGATATTACACTGTTTATACAAAGAAATACTTCATGAATGCATTTCCTCAGTTGATGCACATCAGGTGAAAAAGGATGACCAAATTCAGCAACAGCTTTTAAATTTCTTGTCTCCAGTCTTCAACCCGGCTATGCCATCTAGTGGCCACACAACAAAACTACATTCAGAAATAAAGCTGCTTTTAAGAGACTGATATCTTCAGTTGAACTCAATCTTTAACATACCTTCCTCCCATTTTGTAGCCGCCTCCGAAACCTCTATCGCCGCCTCCAAAGCCCCCACGGTCTCCGCCACGGAAACCCCCGCGGCCCCTGAAGCTTCCACCTCGGTCACCTCCAAATCCTCCTCTGCCACCACGATCTGCACATGGCAAACACAGGATGGTTTTGAACAAAGTAAAACATTTTGCTCTAAATAGTCACGTATGTTAAGTAAAACAGTTAAAACGTCTTTATATTTTGAGAAAAACAAACAAACCTCCTCCTCCGAATCCAGCATCTTCTGGTTTGGGTGCTCCACACTTGTTACACTCCTGCCGCCTTGCAAAGTTCATGTTTCCACAAGAGCTGTTGGTAGAAAATGTTACTTATTATCATCACATTCACCAGACGTACCCGTTATTTCTGTAATTAAAGAACTAACCTGTTAGGACACGGCCAGTCGCCTCCCTTTATGTCAAAGTTGGGTCCTCCTCCACCGCCACGACCTCTGAATCCTGACCAGACATAAACTCTGCTGGTCAACATTAAACCACCACTAGTAATGCTATTGCTACTCAAGCTGAACAGCACCCACCTCCTCGTCCACCTCTGAACCCTCCTCTTTGGGTGAACTCAGCTCTGCGAGTGGCAAATGAGACTTTGATGGGTTTGCCATTGAATTCCTTTCCTACAAGTCCAAGCACAACATGTAAGAAGAAGCTAAACAAGCCAAGACGCTCAAAGTAATCAGTGTCCTTACCATCAAACCAATCAATAGCAGCTTTAGCTGATGGAGGGTCGTCAAAGGACACAGTAGCTTCTCCCTTGGGTCGGCCAGTGGCCTTGTCAGAGTAGATATTGATCATCGGCTGACCGGTCTTCTTATTTACCTAAAAGACATAAACAGCATGGCCATAATCAGTGTTTTGCATCATGTAGTCCCAGTTACTGGCTTAATTAGGAGAATCTTTCAAATAATTTTCATAAAAGTGAGAGGCAGCTACACCAACTCTGTACCTTGATGATACCAATCTGCTTGAAGAAGTCTCCAACTTCTTGAACAGTCGCATCTTCTCCAAGTCCCTGTACGAAAATGGTGTTGTTGTCAGAGTTATCCTGATCCCCAGCTGTGAAGAAAATGAAAAGTGTCAGGAATACCCAAACACAGAGAGAAGCTAGACTGGGCAAATACTCATTAAATTAATCAAGATTTAAAGGGAGAAAAGCCCACCTGATTCATCCCTTGAGCCATAATCTCGAGAGCCTATGCAACAGAGAAGCGGATAGAACAACAACACGTTAGGAACAGAAGTTCTTCAACCCAGCCTGTGGAGTTTCACACAAACATCAGCCCTACCAAAGTTTAGTGATAACTTTAACAAAAATCCAGGTTTACAGCTGTACTGATGCGAGTTTTCGTACCGTTGCATCACCAATACCATTACCTTGCAACAAGAACAGAATTGCTCGTTTTCTTTGAGCTTATACCAGAAATGAAAACCACCAAAAATGTCTCCCGTTTAGGTTTACCCTTCTTGGTCCTTGGAACACCTTTTCATTTACAATCATCCCCGTCTTCATGCAGTATTACCATTATTTTACAACTCCAAGTTCTTTAACCAAGTTCTTTACCATATCTGAAGTCATTATTGAGAAATAGCATTAGGTGGAGTTCCTTGGGAATCTGGACATGAGAATGGTGGCATTCATTGAGATTTTTTTTTCCTTAAACCCCCTTTTCTGTTTTTTTTTTTTTTTTTTTTTCTAACTCAAGTTCTCTCCTCCCCCACCGACACAGTTCTGATGCTCGTCACTTACCACCGAAATTTTTGTAGCCACCATGGTCACCACCTCTGCAGAGGAAAAAATTGAAGATATGATGGCCTTTCCTTTGTTCCAACCGAGAGCTCAAAGCTCCCCTACATCCACACCAGTTTGCACTCCTGCCAGGGTGTGCGACTACAGTGGAAATGTCTCACACGATGAATGAGTTAGTCTTTGGCATTACAGATCAATACACAGATGACCAGGAAGTTCTGACTGAACATCCTGGCAGACGAGTGTAGACAATCACAGGTCAATGGGTCGCCATTTACAAACAATTTGCTCCTTTTGATTGACAAAACCAGATTGGATACCAAAAGCTGGAGAACCAGCTGAATTTGTTTCCAAATGAAGAGCCGGATTGGAGCGAAGGAGTGCAGTAACCAATGAGCAATCTTCAAGCGATTTCATTTTTTAAAGATCCGTTAACTGAGGTCCCAGTTTTAGTTCATTCACTCTCAATACCTGTAGTATAAAATGTAGATCCATGTTAACACAGTAAACAGGCTGACCATTGTCAAATACACAATACTTTAATGAATCTGGCTCAATGTGAAGTAGCTGATGATGAGTCTCCAGGTCTATGTAAAGAATATGACTGTTCTACCAAAAGCTTTTACCTGGTCTCCTTAATGCAGCATTACAACAAAGTAATCCTGTAAAATCATCAGGTATTAACATGTTTAGAATATCAGATTCACGTACAAGAGAATATTTGTCTATTGGCTACATCCCTCTTTGTAGTCTACCACGTAGCTTCATGCTACACTAAAAAAAAAAAAAAATCAATGATCAGATAATCTGAGCTAATAGATTTCCTAAATCTTGATGTGAAACTTTGAAATTTCATTAAATGAAAGAAATGTGAAAGAGGTTCTCAGGATAGAAGCTCAACTCTCCATTGGACTTGTTTTCGTTTTGTCAAAGAAACCGTGTCATTGTATCTCAGTTGATATTTATCACACATGGTGCCGCTTAAACAAGACAGACTTTTTGGTCTCAAAGACATTTTCACACAAGCTTGTCAGAAGTCCTACTGCCAGGTTCTGTATGAAGAAAAACTTGCAGCTTGTGGGCTAAAAAAAAAACCCCATTAGTGTTCCTCTGCATAATGTACTGCTCCCCCCTTTGTCGCCAAATAAAAATCAAAAGCATAGCATATGATGGACTGACAGGAGGCATACTATGAGGATCAAACTGGTAGATGGTGAAAGAGGCTACAAAACTGACTTCTTCAATTTAGATTTGGATTAGAAACAAATGGACAAGAATAAGACTGATTTGTCTCATCAAGTCGCAACAAATGGACAAAATCAGATGTTGCATCAAATGTTGCAACTTGCCAGCACTTACGAAAGAAAGAAAGAAAACAACAACAAAAAAAAGAAAAAGAAAAAACCTTTACAATACTTTATATCAGTATTGTCAACTGGTCAAAACCTCCTGTAACTTAAAATGTAGCATCTTCTTGCTCCTGTTTGGGTTCATGTCAGAACCTACTCTTTCATTAAATATGACCTTCACTGATCTGGTTGCCACTATGAACAGGCATCCATCATTTCACCTGAATAGATTCAACACAAGCACTTTACTGAATTACCTGTAGCATAAAGCAGATCATTGCGAAATGGGTCATTCGATGGATCATGAATAGACTCATGGAAAATTTAAATAAATATTACCAGAGCATGGGGGGTCTGGAGCACAAAGCTGATGTGATAGTTCAAATCCATCTACATGGATTGTTTTGTAGTTGAAAGGCAATGTGTTAAAACAACAACTTGTTACTCATTTACAAATACATAGAGATACCTGGGGGGTAGTGGCACTGTGCAACTTACCCCATACCAGCAGGTCCACCTCTGCCACCACGGTCGTAACCGCCACGGTCATAGCCCCCACGGTCATAGCCACCACTACGGTCGTAACTGCCACGATCGAAACCACCGCGGCCTCTGCCCCTGAAGCCGCCACCTCCTTCTGAGCGGTCTGCACCATCGCGGCCAAACCTTCCGCCCTGACCGCCACCTTCACCTGACAGAACAAAAGGGTGACACAGTGTAATCAAAGGAGGTTTAAAAACAAACAAACAATTCTGACTACAACTAAAATATGTCCATACCTTCACTCCATCTTCCATAGCCACTGCCACTGCCTCCACCTCCTTGGCTTTGGCTGCCATCATATCCACCACTGCTCTGTCCACCATAGGTGCTCTGCTGGCCATAGCTGGCACCGCCACTACTAGCTCCTTGCGCCTGTGCTCCGGCGTAGCCACCACTCTGTCCGCCGTAGGAGCTCTGCTGGCCATAGCCTGCACCTCCCTGACTCTGTCCACCGTAAGACGCAGCTGCTGGCTGGCCGTAAGAAGCCGACTTGTCGCCATACCTTTGTTTAAAGAAAGGAAGATGGTAAAACAGGCACCCAAGACTTAAATTAATGTTGCATCTGTAGAGTCAGTCCAATCAACTTACCCAGATGAGTCTTGACCATAGCTACTACCATAGCTTTGTTGCTGAGATTGACCATAACCTTCTGTCAAAACAAATAGAATAAGTCACATTTCAATTGAATTCTTAAGGTACTTTAGATAGATTAAGGGTTAGAAATATAAAGAGATTCCTGTTCTCCCAACACCTTTAACAATGAACTACATTACCTGAACCTTGCGGCGCTCCTTGTTGACCATAGCCTGGATAATTCTGTCCTCCATAGGAACCGGTGGCCCCACCATTTCCTTGTCCATAACCCTGTAATTAAGAGGCATGAGTTAAAATAAATATAACCAATAAAGTTGATATAAAATGGACTGATGGTCTGCTTTGGAAAATATTTTACCTGTCCGCTCTGCTGACCTCCATATGACCCATAGCTGCAAACAAAATACATTCAAATTCAGCTCATAAAAATGAGAAATTTTCTAAGATATTTCAACTAGTGAAAAAGAAACATGCCAACAGGCTGAAAAAGATTCTTGCTACAAAAATCCAAAGGAAATATTATGATTATTTATACTGCACAAAATTGCATTGTTTACATTTGGCGCATCTTCTTCTGAAACAATGTTTGGAGTGAGTATATAATTACCTCTGTGCGCCACCGTAGCCCGAATCTGAAATTAGAAAAAAAAAAAACATTGCTAAATTTACCCACAGCGTTTATTAAATAGCGCATCTTCACGCATTTAACCAAAAATGAGAGCAAAGTCAAAATGGGTCAATGAAGTAGGCCGGGCCCAGGCAAGCACGCAAGAAAATGGCGCCCTAATCAAGCCCCGGCTCAGACTACTTACTGGAAACAAAATTAATCCTTTTTAAAATATATTGATTTGGTGGACTTTGTGAAATGGCATATCCCTACAAGTCCCCCTATATATTAAGGTAGAGAATCACATAATAATAAAACAGCTTCTTTTTTTTTTTAATGGAAAAAAACAGTTTCGGTATAAACAATGACGCATTCAAGTTCGCTAGCAACAATCGGCTCGTTTCAGGTTGAATACTCGCAATAGGGCCATATAATATTTAAAAATGATTTCAACAAATACCAAGCCATTAAGATAAATGAATAATCTTTGATTAAGATAAATCTCCGATATAAGGAAGACAAAGCTACACAGAAGGCTGAATTAGCTTTTTAAACATCGGTTATTTTCCATGTAATAGACGGCACCGCTGGACGGCCTCGCGGCTCAAAAAGCCGCATTGCAATTTGACCTACTTTAAGAGAAAAACGGGCAAAAAAGATATCCAAGAACATATCTGCACTTACCAGTGGCCATTGTGTGCCGATATGTGTGCAGCTAATTTAAATAGAACAGATCTGTTTGCTGTTTTCAGATCGTTAAAAGCAGGAACTGACACAACACAGCTCCACTGAACCGAGCACGCTGCAGAACTTCCCTTTAGCTGCTCTGTCTGCTTCTTCGGCTGCGGCCAATCCACAGACCTCACATTCAAACATGACTCACAACATCGCCCCCTACTGTTTAAAAGCATTAAAGACAAGCCCTACATTACAAGAAAGAGAAAAAGATCCTTAATATATTCTCAGTATAGCATAGGCAAGTTCTTACATTTTGTCTGAGGCACCACGTGGAATACTAATGATATCAGTATTATGAAAATACTGATAAAGAAACACACCCAAACAGTTCAAACACCAGGAAGAAAGTAGGTGTCTCTACACTTGCAATAGTTTTCTACATTTTATGTTACTACAGCCACAATTGTGAATTGGGATTTTTATGCAACAGACCAACACAAAGTAGTGCAGGACTGGAGGAAAAAATAATAGTGTTGAAATGTTGCGTACATACAAGTGTAAACTTGTATGTATTCCATTCAGTGAACTCTGCAGAGTGACTTTTTCACTTAAGCGACAGCTGCAACACATCTAAAGACGTAATATCATTACCCTCTCATTGCAAATTAAATCAAGCTCAAATGTCAAATTTAATACAGATTTCCATTTGGGTTAAGGCATAGACTTTGATTAGGTCATTTTAATATATAAATATGATCCAAGCTAACCCATTCAATTGTAGAGCTGACTGTGAGGGTAAGAGTACCTCTCCTGCTGGAAGGTGAACTTTGGCCCCAGAGTCAAGTCTGAGTTAGGCTTTCTTCAGGGACTTCCCAGTGTTCATCTTACAAATTACACACATGTGGACTCCATTTTTTAAGTATGTGATCTGTGAAGGCTATTGCTTGCACTGAATTTTATTTAAGGACATGGGAGTAAAGAAGGTGCTCAGTCTGCATTAAGGTATTAAAGACCAAGCTCTACCCACCGAGTATGATACATCATTTGGTGCTTTTACACCATGTAATGCCACACTTTAGATTCAAAATAAAAATACTTAACATTCCAGATATTTGAGTGCAACATATTTACAAACGGACTAGTTAAAGCAGATTGTACATTTTGTATTGTATTTATACAAATAAAGGGGAACCTTTTGACTTTCATGATGGCAAAATATTATTTCAATATATTAAATTTCAGAGGTAGAAAATGATCAGGAAAAGTTCCTACTTTTCAAAAGTGCATTGCAGTACTTTACATAAATTTGGCTGAAATTGAAACCAATAGTTTCACATCTTGATCCGATTTGCAGAATGACAGCAGAGCTTTCCATGTTCAATATCCAGTCATCACAGCTGACGGAGCCATTTGCCTCCAAGGAAAAACATAATCCCAACAAATTAGTCCAATTTTATTCATTAAAAATGCATGCCTCCAAATAATTACATTACAAAGTAATAGCAAAAAAAGTGACAGCGCCAGGTAAAGTGTCTCTTTAAGATTTAAATTTTCTAAGAAAATGTAAGCATGGATGAAAACAATTCTACATCATGGTTTTAATGCAAACGTCTTACAATAAGGCAGAGTTAAAAAAGGCACAGACTGAACTTCAGATGGTCGGCTGACCTCCATCTCCCCCATTCATATGTTCTCAGAGTGACAGACGGCAAACACACAATATAAACTCTTGGTTGATGGTCTATACATGGTGGTACATATGAAGCAAGACAAAAACATCACAAAAATAGAGTTCTCACATGAAAGTTCAATCCATATTCCTCTGCGGTATCTGATGTATATAAAGCCATCATTTCAATGGTCATACTTTATTTCAAATGTTTTAGACAGGAGACAAACGGACTTTAAATGCACATAATCTCATGGTTTTCTGTAGATCATCACTTTTGAAGTTTCCGTTACAAAAATGATCTCGATGTTTCTGCATTCAGTTCCCTTGTCAAAGTACAAAGACAGACATTAACATACCAATGAAGCAGTTTTACTTTTAGCAGTATTTTACACATTTAAAGTATGTGAAAAGCACTTCCAGATCAGCTCAGAGAAACTGAAGTCAGAGCCATTTAATGTGAAATCACATATCCCTCCTCATCTCCAGCTAAAAGGTGAAAAAAACTACAGATTTCTCAAATAGATGATCCGAGGATCCATTTGCATCCCGACACTCTGGGCTGATTCAAGATTTTTATAAAGACATTTGATTCCAGCGGGTTACTTCTTCAAATCTTCAAACTTTTAAAAGTTGCAGCCAAACTATTTTGTAATTATATAAAGAGACTCTTGACGATCTCTGGAAGCCTATGAGGTAAATCTCCGTGAGGCCTGACACAACATGTCAAAATACAGGAGTTACAGAAACATGTGATGCAGGATGTGAAGGTGAGAAATGCTGATGTGAACTCCAGAAGCGGCTGAGGTAGGGTTTGCCTCATCATCCTCTGCTACCTGTAGCCCTCATGAACCGGGGGGAGAGGGGCATGCGAGCGAGACTGTTTTCATATTCGGTCCTGAAGAACAAACTGCAAAAACGGGAACTTTAGGACTACCTTCAGAAGTGAAGAGTAAGGCTTTGCGCTGAAGGCTCTTTAGCTCCACACGTCCTGCGAGTAGCGTCCCTTGGTCATCAGTTTCTTCACGTAATCTGTGGCCTGGGTGCGCGTCATGCTGCCGTACTCCTCTGCGATCTCGTAGAAGGCCATCTGCACGTCTTTTGCCATGTTCCTCGCGTCGCTGGAGAATAAAGCAAACCATGTGTAGATAATTTACAAAAAAGGGGAGTCAAGGAAGGGAAAAAAAAAAAAAAAGCCCCCCCCATGCTTTAGGCGTTTTTAGGTCATTACCCGCAAACGTAGATATGAGCATTATCTGTGTGGATTAGCTTCCAGATGTGTTCCTTGTTCTTCTTCAGATGATGCTGCACATAAACCTGGAGAAGATGGGAAAAGAAAGCATTTTCCAGCTGTGAGTTTATAAACTTTTGATATATGAAAACATAAACAAGTTTACTACCACAAACTCGGTATAGTACTAGTAAAGTAGTAAAATAGTAAAGAGCAGAAAATCTATGTTTGTTATTGATACGTTTTAATAAATTATACATGTTTCACTTCCCATAAAAACCTAAAGCAACTTTTAACACACTACTGAAGCAAAACCATCTCAGTTGCAGCAGCTTGGTAGCCTCCAGCTGCAGCAGTCATGTAGACAGTCTAACCTTATGATCCTGGTCTCTGGAGAAAGCAACATTAAGCTGCGTCAAGACGCTGTTCTTCTCTGCCGCCTCCAGCTCCTCCTGGTAAATATAATCCTCGTTTTTGTGTCTGCAGCCGAAATACATCACCGTCTCTCCTACTTCCTTCCCTGTGGAGAAAAATCATCCGTGTTACATTTAAAGCTAAATCCTTGAAAAGAGACAAAGTTGGCAAGGTTGTTACGGAGAGAAGGGACTGGATTTATTTTTGTTTGAAAAGGGTTTCTTAAAAGTTAAAGTCAACACTTTTTTTATACAACAATTTTTAAAAATGACTTCTTATTTTAAGTTATTTCAAAATGCAAGACAGTTACACTGCACATTCACTGCAGTTGACTGGAGTTTAGAGCTACACATGAATTAGCTTCAGTACCTTCAAACAGCTTACAGAAAAATTCATAATAGTGTTGAAGGGTTTCAGTCAGCTGCCGAAGTCCCTCTTTTCAAACTATAAATTGTTAAATACACAATTTTTATGTTGAAGGAGCTCCTTGTCCTATTTTTTCAGGATTTGACAAGAAATCCTGAAACTTTCCTCTCAAAATGGCATTTAAAGCCTCGTGTTAATAGCTTTGTAGTTTTTCCTAAGGATAATAATGCCTTTTGTTTTTCCTCTTTGGGTGCAATGCCAGATTTAAAAACAAAATTTGGTTAAAACATCTTTTCTTTAGCATCTATTTGTATATAGTAATATTTTAATAAGCTTTTATTCCTTTTATATTTTAATTTCAACTTCAGTTATTCAATCAAGTTTTTATCCTTTTTTTCACTTGGAGATGTCATTTGAGTTAACCAATCAGATTTTAGGGTTTATTTAATGAAATGACAGTTCAAATTAATTCATGATGGACAATAGCACATAAAGTTAATCAAGATTCTAATTATTTTCAGTTATTTATACATTTAAAATAGTATTTTTTTTAACATGTAAATAATCTCAATTATAATAATATTGGTTTATTTACATGTTGTACTCTTGGCTCTTGACATTTTTGTTGCAATGCTTTTTTTGGACTGGGGAATTTAAACAAGGACGAAAAAAAACCCCCAAAAAACACAAAATCCCAGTCCTTCACCTGATGTCATCATGAAATCACACCAACAACAACCACAGAGACCAACACTTTGAGACGGAGAGATGACTGAGCACCTTGCTGTTTGAGCCAGCCTCTTTCCTGGACGAAGCCCATGAAAGGAGCGATCCCAGTGCCAGGGCCGATCATGATCACTGGGTTGGAGGCCTTGAATGGCAGGCGGAACTGGGACTTGCGGATGTACATGGGCACGGTGGACTTGTGGCCGTTGACGAGTTTGTTCTTCAGCCAGTTGGTTGCGACTCCCTTGTTGACGCGCCCCGTCTTGGTCTTGTACTCCACCACCACGGCGCAGATGTGGATGCTGTTGGGGTGAACCTACAGAGAAGAGATATTTCATTAGGAGCCGTCGAGTCATTTTCAGAGCGTCTCATCTGTAAAGGGGTCAGTACTTTAGACGAAGAGGCGATGGAGTAGTAGCGAGCCTGGAGACGAGGCAGCAGCTCACACAGGTGGTCGATAGGAGGCTTTAAAGAAGGCATATCCTCCAGGACGGCCAGGATGTTTCTGCAGGAGTCCAACACCCAGTTCTGGTAGAGAGCCTGCAGACAATGACGTGGGAATTAAAGAAAAACCCTTTACTCGCCAGCAAAAGCAACGTGACAAAATTTTGGTGGCTTTGGGGTTAAAAGTTGCTCTGAATCAACTCGTCACCGACCTTGCCCTCGGGAGACGAGGATGCCATCTTTCGCATGTTCTCCTGCTCTTTGGGGTCGGAGGCGTACTGCGCCAGCTCGTACAGGACGTTGGTGCGGGGAGGGTTTGTGATGTCCAGGTAGTGAGTGAGGGCGGTGCGGTAGGTGGTGGGACAGGGGAACGGATGCTTCTTGTTGGACTCCTCTGGAGACATCACAAATCTGATTAGCATTTCTGTCAACAGTCCACGGTTATGGCCATTAGTTTTGTAGGGACACTGATGTGTTTTGTTGGTTTAACATTTTCATTTTCAGATTCTACTTGTTTCCATGCTACACTGAAGAAGGATTCAAAAATATTAAGAAGCTTCAGAGGTACGCAAATATGTCTAATATATGAATACTTCACTTTTCTACACAGCTTTTTTAGCCGAGGGTCCATAACTTCAAAAGTCTGATCTGAAACGCCATTCATCTTTTTCCTTGTGACAAGCTGCTTCAGCTGAAACTAATGATGGATGGAACCATTTATGGATTGATTTTGAAGTTATTTAGCCAATAATATTGTCACAAAATCATAACACGAAGGAAGTTAATAAAAAGAAAGCACATCTAACAGAAATGGAGCACTGACTGCAACAACGTAGTCAGATCCAGAAGTGGTGGGATTGTGATGTGATGCGCTTCACTGACACACATTCTTTCATAATTAAATTTTCTGCCATTGTTTATCATTTACTGCGTCTGGCTTCTTCTTCTGTCGTGATATGACCATTCATACTACAGAAGCTCTGAAAACAACCGGATACGCATCAGATTTAGTAGTACGTTCCTCATCATTATCTAAAATAAAACAATTTGAGACATCACAAAAAAAAAATAAAAATACTAACACCCCAAAGTTTCTGCAATTATGTCACTAAATCAACCTTTTAAACCTCGACTGTATATTAACATGCAGTTGAGTCACATGCATTCGAAAGGATGACGAAGCAAGTCTAGATTATCAGTGAAGGATTTCGTGATAGTGTGAAGGGGAGAGGCTTCTGTGGCCAAGGTTCTCTACAGAGGCAATGAAATACCGTCAAGGTTATTGAGGGAGATAACCACGTCAAGGTCCACGCCAAGGATCTCTCCCAGCTTGTTCACCAGCTCAGAGTCGTTTGTGGGGAAAACGGCGACGTGGTCTCCTGACTCGTATCTGAAATGGCAGAATGGGATGTTTAGACTTTGACCGTCAGGCAAAAAACCTGAAACTATGAAGCCGAGTTCGTCCTGAGAGACGGTTTCCCAGCAGCCTTGCCTGATCTTGGAGCCGGTGATGTCCAGCTCCAGGTGCATAAGGTGTCTGTCGCCAGCTTTGTTGAGTTTACGGTTGACAGTGACTGGAGCCAGGAAGGGGTTCTTGGAATCAAAGGGTCTGTAATTTAAATATTTAAAACAAATAAGGATTTATTTAAAGCAAGACAAAAAAAGGTAGAAGTTTTAACTTTCTTTGTAAGATGTTTTCTGTAACCATGAGGGGGCATTAAGGTTAATTTTTATTAAGTGAGTTTTGCAATAGACAATATGTTACTGTAGGTGAAAAGTGCCAAATGACTGAGCTCAGGGGACTCGGAGGGCGGCGTCTGAACTTACGGCTTTTGGACTTCAAAGCTCTTCAGACGACCAATCTCTCCTGTGTAAACTTTGTTCATGTTGACGTCAGTGTGCACCTTCAGCTCGTACTGCCGAATGCTGCATGGCAGAAAAATGGGAGACTAAATATCGGCTCATCATACACACGGAAAGAAAAACTCAAAACCAAGTGTGAGAAAAGTACAACTCGGGAGAACAATCATGAAAAAAACAAAATATCTCAAAAACAATTTGACCATGAACGCACCTGGACTCATCTCCTGACGCCTCCACGCCAAAGTGCTCACAGACCGCCGGCCAGAACTGCTCTCTCCAAGAGATGAAATCCTCCTCAAGGCTGAAACCAAGAAACAATAGGAAGTTTAAACGGAAATGTGCTGACCAGACTTTTACTGGACAAAAAATGTCTCATTTTCAGCAAATTACTCAAGTAATAATTTTCAGCTTTTCTGGACTGATGTTTCTGGATGGATGGATGGATGGATGGATGGTACTCAAAGACATAAAATGTGCAGCAGGTTCCTTGACAGGGATTATAGTTGAGAAAAGAGGCAAATACAAAATTATTCCCAATTTTTTTTTATATTCCAGCCTCCACAGATTAAAATTTATTGAGTGAAACCCCATCTTTCAGAACTTGATCTGCTGATCAGAATAACTTGAAATATGTTTCAAAGCCGTTTTAGCGAGGTCACCCACCAGACGATATTCCCCCAACCTGTCTTTGACAGTGAAAATCATAGTGTCTCTGAAAGTTTAAATGCATTTTACTCAAGTATTTGTTCTGACTTTGTGATAAATGTCTTCCTTTGATAACTCACTGTCTGTTAGGGTAAAAGCAAAGAAACCGTTTTTGTTTTTAAAAAGTTGAACTTTGGTTGTTTTTGCGAACCGATATAGAAAATCATGAAAAAAAAAAATCAAAACATTTCCCACAGCCTGAACAATAAAGGCTGGTTTTTGATCAGTAGTGGCAACTGACATGATTAAAAAGTAATATACTGACTGTACACAAACCAGTCTTGGACATTAACAAGAATACTCACTTGCCATCATCATCACCCTGACCAAGGTCAAAGATGCGCTTGGCTCCCAGTTCTTCCAGCCTTTTGTCTACATATTTTCCCATGGCGTTGTAGTGTTCATAGGTTTTATTGCCCAAAGCAAATACCTGCAGACAGATAGTAACACATACTGGAGGATCAGCACATAGTTATGGCATTTAAGAGCAAATAATCTCTTTAATTTAGAATTTCATAAGCTGTTTAAGTTGTCAATCGAGTGAAAATGCTGTTGAAATCGTTGAACAAAAATGATACCCGAGTGAGTGATCCTCGAAAAAAATATTTATATTTTTTCCCCCTGAAAGTTAACATTTTAATTTGCTTTGAACTAAACACTAACATTTTTAATACACGTATGTTTTAAGCAGAATTTAACTATACTGATGTGATTTACCATATTTCATCTATTGTGAAGGAAAGAAAAAAGATCTGTTTAGATTGTAAACATGCCGGCTCAAAGAACCCACAACACTGGAGCCTTTTCCAACAAATCGATTTGTTGGAAAAATCAATTTCCAACAAATCAATTTGTTGGAAATTGATTTCAGTGTTTATCTGGTGCTTACCAATCACCAGCTCTTTGTGTTTTTAACCAAAAGAAACCCTGGTGCCAGCACCAAAAACCAGCACTATCCCAGCATTAGCTTTCTGCTGGGCAAGAAGGAAAAAAATAATTTCATGAGGAGTTAGAGGCGATAAAGCAACATGGCTCTGACTTGGCTCTGGTGGTGGAAAAGCAAGCCGGTTCTTTTAGAGGACAAATTCAGAACTGGTTCTTGCACCACAACCTTTTTGGTAGTTATTTAATTTTCCTCTGGGATCAATAAAGTATTTTTGAATAGGATTTGAAAGCCCTCAGTGATTCTGATGGAAATGCAACTACACCCACATTTCAACCTTAAAGGAAAAGTGTTAAAAACCACAGATCATTTTCCTTCCACTCGATAACTATGCACTACTTTGTGTTGGTCCGTCACATAAAATCCCAGTAAAATATATAGAAATTTGTGGCTGTATCGTCTAGGGTTTGAAGACTTTCACAGCACTGAACACATTTAAATAATTAAACTATTAGATACTATGTGCTTTACTATACCACAGCTATGACCTTAATCACCAATAATCTCGTCTGCAGAACTTGGAGATAAATGTTCATGTTTTTTTTTTTTATTTAAATAAAATAAAACCAAAGAGGCTGTATCCTAACCACAAGTCCTGTTGCAGTTCATAATGCAAGCGAGACAAAAAAATACAAACGGCTGAACAAGATGAAAGCACATCTTCTTGTTCTCATACAAAAACATCAGGAGGATTAGCTTTAAACCGCTAAGTGCAAATTTAGGTCTTTTGCATGTTTTTAGTGGAAAAAAACAGAACCTAATAAAATGTCAGCATACTGCTGACATTTTTATTAGCCTAAACTTGGTTAATCAAGAGAGAGTTTGTAACAACCCAGCATGTAGGTGTGTGGGATTTATCTTAAGTCAAGTTACTGGTGAAAAGTCAAAGAAAAAAAAATAGATAAAAGCACAAAAATGAACTTACTGTATCAACAAATATTACAACCTTCAGAATAAACAAAATCATAAATTAAACATTCCTGTAAAGTACAGTAAATAATAAAATATATTAAATCATATGCACCTCATCCTCTTTAAAACACTGAAATAAATATCTAATGATGTATTTAAATGATTTATAATTGCAGTAAAAGAACATTAAGATAAGGATGTCAGAGAGAGGTTCAGTGTTCCGCACAAGCAGCATTGCACTCGGCACATCAGTGCATCGTTCCTGGATCATTACTAGCTTATTTAAAAAATAAATAAATAAATCCTAATGATAAAGACTCACAGTGTAGTTCAGGCCAGAAAGGTTTTCATCATCATTCTCCTGCAGCCAGTCATAAAAGTCCTGGGCATTATCAGTGGGATCTCCTTCTCCGTATGTGGCCATGCAGAATATAGCGAGAGAGTTCTCAATCTCAGCCAGACGGGCCAGTTCCCCCTGAAACGAGGCGAAGGGCAGACATTAAACGCAGATAAAAATAAAAAATTGGCCTATTCTGTTCATCTGGAAAAGAACTGAGAGGAAGTTCTAACACAAATTTTTAATTAGCGTTAAAAATTTGGCACGTCATTTTATGCGACTCCTGCAGTGCAGCGAGTGGATTCTGTGACGCGGGTTACCATGCTGTACTCCTCCGGATCGGCAGACATTCCTTTCATGCCGTAGCGCTGGGCATCTTTGGCGAGCCTGTTGGCAAACTCCTCAGCTGTCCCCGTCTGAGAGCCGTAGAAAACTATGATGTTCTTCCCCTGAGCGCAAATCGACAAAAAGGATGTTTACATTTTGCGCGTGGAAGGGCAGATTATTGCATATATCCCGTCTGGTTGCTAGGCAAAAAAGGAAATATTTACACATGCTTAAATGTAGCAATGATAACTAAAGGCTCATCTACAACCCTCATGGTATCCAAGCCATTTGTTGCTGAACCACAGGATTCAAAACCAGCCTCATTATTTACAGTCCTGGCTTGGGAACAGAGGACCACAGGAGTCCCAGCAGGAGTTTTGAAATCTGAAGCTACATGCGTTAGCAAAACAAAAATATGAAATGACTCACAGTTTTCTTCATTTTCTCGACGAAACTCGTCTCCCGGGTGGTGGGTGTTCTGGAAAAGAAAGGCGTTTTGAGTCTCGCTGCCAGAACATTTAAAATAGGTGCAATTAATCGTACATTTTCTTAAACACCTTAGCGAATACAACTGCTGCTGTGCACAAACATGTAGGAAAGACCTTTTCAGATTTATTCAGTGATCGGTCCAAGTGACAGTAAACCTCATTTCCGTGTTCTGACCTGCGTGTCGATTCTCAGGGATTTGACCTTTTTACAGGCTAAACCCAGTTCATCTGGGGAAAACGGAGGCACGTGAAGTTCAGCGAAAATCAATGAGAAACATTTACTGTGCGACAGATAAGGATTTATCTACAAAGAACAGGAGGGAGAGTAATTACCAGTGAGATAGCACCTGGTACAGTGTTACTGTGCTGGTTCAGCTGCTTAGCTATGTTCTAGATAAGCACCGAGTATTGAAGAGGAAGTGATCCAATCTCAATAGGGCATATGTCATGGTAATTTAGACATCGTCACTCAGGCAAAAATAATCAGTGCATTGATACAGATCAAAACAGCGTGTGCTGGCAGATGGTTGGTAAGGAGGAGCTTAGGAAGCTAAACCTATTAAAAGCTGAATAAAAGGCAAAGCCGCTACAATGAGCATCAAAGAGCTGAGCAGACACCTGCGGATCGCCTCCATTGACAGGATTACAAGGAAAGTGACTTTCAGGCTCAAAAAAAAAAAAAACCACAATTAATGCATTTTGTGATTTTTTTTTACAATAAAAGTGCAGAACAAGGTTGCTGTGCTGCCACTGAAGCTTGAAGTACAATAAATTTGAAAACGGAACGTTTTAAAAGGAGAAAATCTGCGTGCAGTTCAAGCAGCCACTCCAGCCCTCGAGCGCCACTGTCCTGCAACGTTTGGACGCGTCGCTGCTCCAAACACCAGAATCAAACGAGCAGCTGAAGAACGCGTCTTCGAAAAGTTGCTGACATGCCGAGGAGGTAATTCAGTCTTTTGATTCAGGTGTGTTGGAGCAGGGATGCATCCAAACAGGACTGCTGATTCATATTATTTTAGCAATCGATTATTCTATCAATTATCGATTGTTCAGACAAAAAGAAAAAAAAAAAGTCACATTCTTCAGATTTTTCATTTGACCACTTAAGCCTATTTTGTACAATATTAAAAATACACAAAAGATGCAAATAAACTATTCAAATCCCTCTTAAGATAAAAAAATAAAATAAACGTATTGCATAAAACATAACGGCATTCCTTTAGAGTAAGTTTGATCATTTTTAGCAAAGAATGATTCTGCAGCTAAATAAAAACATGTGAAAAGTTCAACTTTTTCTGTTTGACTTGACATCAATACAATGTAGGGATAATCTGCCGATTAATTTCCCAATTAATAAAATGTGCCCAACAGGAGGATTTTGCAGCTTTCTTACTGGGTTAAACTAAAACTGCGGCACCATCGGTGTTCTAGGTCAAACATATTTACAGACATGTTTTTTTCCCCCCCCAAACAGTTTTGGCTTAATCATTTCTCCTAGGGTGCCGTTTTTTCAGTAAATCGCTTTTACATTTTTTGGAGTTTGTATACTCCAGGTAACAATTATTCAATTACTAAATTAGTTTCATGATTATTCCATTAACTAATTAATTGTTTCAGCCCTACATCCAAAGGCTTCAGGACACAGGAGGACTGGAGTTGCAGGTTTCTGGAGCAGAGTATTGATTCCTGATTACAGAAACACCTAAATGCACCAAATACATCAAAATCATGATTATAAAGTCATAAAATAAATTGACTATTGTGCAGTCATCCTGTCTTGAAAGTTGCCGTTTATGTCCACTTCATCTACGCAGTCTTTAACGAGAAACAAACAAACACATATTAATGAAATCCTTTACATCGGGGCTTACCGTCAACATTTGTAACTGACAGGAAGTCGTTTTTGTAACTAATGGATGGACAGAGAAACAGAGGGATCACTTGTAATGACAGCTTTTGTTCTGAAAGCTCCTTAACCCCCCAAAAAGAAAACAAAGACGGAAGACCATTAATGAATGACGACTCCTCCTACTGGTTATGTTGTTACTTTTGTTGTCTGGACTGCTTTTTAAATGTTGGTGCCATAACTGAATGATGCGATTATGTTTTAAAATATGATTGAACACAAGTACTGCATGCCGTTAAGAAATTGTGCATCCTGTGTGAACGAAGCCTCTGAGGACAAAGTGCAAACCCAGAACAGTGGAGATTTCTCTCACTTTAGCAGTGAGAAACTCTAAGCTGGAATTGTGTGATGAATAAAATAAAATCATGATGGAAATGTGCAAATGACCAGAGCGGGAAATGATTAAGTCCGAGAACACTTAATTATGAGCCGATTCAATTACATTTGCAGATGAACAGATTTAATCTCCATCCCTTATGCAACTTCTCTGAAACCCGGTATGTTTTCTAGAACACAGTCTTAGGTTAAACTACGGTTAAACTGCATGCTTAGTGTAGCGTTTCCGTCAGATTCAAGTTTACGAGGTTGGAATTCGTCTCGACAGAAGAAATACGAATGAGTCAAACGATCCCTCAAAGATGGTTTGAGGCGGTAAAAATAAAAACTTTACTGACCTCTCGGCAGCATCTCTCCTGTCCTCTGGCAGTGAGAAGACACAGCCCATGACATGCAGACCTGTAGCTACACACTTGAACTAGCACTGCTGTGTAGGCCAAGCCAACAGCCACAATGTTCAAAGTACAAAAAAAGCAAACAAAAACAACAAACTCCAAAAGCATAAGATGGAAAAGTGAGGCAGGCGGATGGATACAGCGAGGGTCTGAAGCTCAGCCAGCCTTCACGTTCACCTCCAGCGCAATCTGAACTCTTCCTCTTCCTGCGCCGCTCTCTGAAACCAGCGGCATCTGAAACGCGTTCACCTAGAGAGCGCGACCGCCGTCAGCCTCTGCCCACCGCCGGGAAACACAATGGTGGGAAACTGACTTTCCCATAAAACGTAGCCGAGCTGCAGAGCCACAGTTTCTGACTCACGCGAAACACACACACTGAAATGATCAGGAGCTGGAAATGCCTTCCTCCTCATCCCCACCCCTTTCCCTCGGCGCTCTGAAAGGTGTTGGGAGGGAAAACGTCCACAAAATCCATTCTGAAAATTTGATTGGTTATCAGAGAAACTCTTCTGTGGACCAGTGAGGAGGGAAAGAGCTGCGTGTTTCTTTTTTCCTTTTTTTTTTCCTCTTTTTCTCCCCTGCCCCCACCTCATTGGAGGAGAGAAGGGAATGTCATTGCTATGGCAACCTCGTTTATCATAAAAGGATTGCATTTGTGACATGGCCCAATAGCAGTGCAGCTTCGACCAGACACAGACAGGAAAGAAGAAGAAAAACGTGGCTCTGGGGAAAGGAGAGTGAAAAAACTAAGGCAGGGAGAAGAAAGGGCTGCTTGTCTTCTGCCTCAACTTTCCACTTTTGGACAAAAGGAATTGGCTCGCTCTCCAGAGAACTTCCAAAACGGGTTCAGGGACGAGGAGAGAAAAAAAAAAAAAAAAATCACACGAAACAGATGAAAGACTACACCCCCTTGTAGATAATCACTGGCCCTTTAAGGGGAGGGGAGTCCAGCTCCCTGCTTCTTGTCTTGATATTTGTTCCCTTCCTGCATCCGTTCCCTCCAGGGACTCGGAGATTCGGGTCAAACAAAAGGTTTCTAAAGTTCAAGAAATATCAAGCTTTAAAAAATAATCATGGAAATGAAGGAGTCTCAGCACTTCACCCTTGTTTCCTTCACAGTACAAAACACTGGAACAGTCTCAAATTTTTTTTCTTTCCAAAACCACCGCAAGGAATACGCGCTTTTAACAGCTTAACGTTTTGGCTTTGTAAAACCAAGCTCTAGAACATCAGTTTTACCCAGATTAAGAAGCAAATTTCCTTTTTGCTGCTCTACCTCTAGCTTTTATGATCTTTACCAATCAGTTTCCAAAACGATAAACATATAGGCCAGTTTTAGAGAATAGAGCAGGGGTCACCAACTCCAGTCCTCGAGGGCTACCATCCTGTAACTTGGATGCGTCTCTGCTCAAACACACCTGAACCAAATAAACTGCTCGTTTCCAGCCTATTGCAGAGAGGAATGAATGCTGGTGAGGGAATTCAGACATTTTGGAGCAGAGGTGAATCTAAAAGTTGCAGGATGGTAGCCCTTGAGGACTGGAGTTGGTGACCCCTGGTTTAGAGCCTTGTCATCTGCTGCTTTATTCATTTTCCACTCAGTTTCAGTTTGGGATCTGTACCTTCCTTGGCTTGATGGGATGAGGAAAAACTGTCCAATATTTCGTATCCATCCATCCATTTATGACAGAGGATCTGGTCAGATGTTTGAAATGCCTTCATTGACTTGTAGCGATACGGAGGAGCAGCAGCTCCACTCTGAGCTCCTGTAAAGTCCAGTCGTCCAGTGAAATAAACCCAGTTCAGCCACTGATGAGTGTAATAGTTAGAATATGTGGTTTATGCATAACGATCTGATTAATGGTCGTCTTTCCAACCTATTTTGACGTAAATGCCAAAGTAAGGTGTAAAGTAAAATTACAGAGGTTTATTGTTTATACTTGGATCATGCCTCAACACAAGAGCTATTTCAGCCTGTAACCCTTTACCCAGCAATACCAGGAATGCAGCAGGTGCTACAGGCTTTGTTGAGGGTTGTTTTTCTTTTCAAAGAAACAAAAAAAACTCATTCAATGTAAGAGGAGTGTCCAAAAAAATGTGGCCAGTGTAGGGAGAGTTCAATGTAATAAAGCCAAGCCTCTTCCACTCCCTATTAAGTGATAAAGGAGGGGACAACGGGAGGGAACAGAGGAGGACCCACAGGCTCGGACAAGAGAGAAAACATCAAGCAAATCAGGTGAGTTTGTGTCAGAGTTTGTGTCAAAATAGCCTGAAAGTAAACGAGGAGGCGGAGAGAAGCAAGGGTCACAGCTGGTGAAACATTTACCTAAAGCATCAAGCTGTGCACTCACACACACATGCTTCAATGCTTTACAGCGCCAGCTTGAAGAAAATGGCCTTTGCACACAAATTTGTTGGGATTGCCCTTAGAAGTGGGCCGACCTAAAAGATACAGCCACTTGCATCAAACGTGCCAAACAGACTTTGTGTTGTTGCTCACCATTTACAGTCAACTCCACTTCTACAAGTTATAATGAAAATAAATTTAACTAATTTCTTTTGTAACGTGCTTCAGGGCAACACTTGTGAATTGCAACAATATAAATAACCTGAACTGATCAAACCCAAAATGAAGTCCTAATAGTCTTTACGATCCAAACACCTTCTGCTGTGCCAGCTTTTCTGTTTAACTATAAACGTTATGAACTGTAGTCCGGTTAAAGCAGCAGGATGGAACCGTTTTTAAAATTAAATATGGTTTTTACGTATTTGTTAAAACTGTCACCATGTTGAGACACTACAACTTCAGACAGATAATCTGTGAAAAAGAAAAACAAGCTCCTGTGCCTCATCACCGTCAAACATGTTTTTATTTTTTACAAACTGCAACTTTAAAGAAATGCAGTTTTAAAACTTTAGTTCATAAACTATATTTTAAAACTCAAGTTTCAATGACATAAAAACCATACCTGTACTTTTAATTTTACAACATAGTAGTTGCAGGGTTTCCCCCAGTGTATTATAAGCCTGGCGGGCTACCAGGCTTTACATATGCCCCCACCAGGCTTAACATTGCTTATTTAAATTTTTTTTTAATGTTTGCATTATTTAAAACTTTATAGTTAGTGTTTAGATATTAATCTACCAATAACAAATACATATCAAGTAATATTTTTAAATTTCCTGTCAACTTTATAAACATTTTTTAACTCAAACATGACGATCCACTGGATGAATGACTGCCGTAGCACCCAACCGCCAGGCTTAGCAAGTTTTCTGGGGAAACCTTGAGCTGCATATAAAAAGAGTTAATTGCATGATGACGTAGTGATGAAGATCTTCATCACCACCTTGAATTTAGCAGAACAGAAAAATAAATGCACAAACTCACAGGGTATCAAGCTTCTTAAACTCGGGGATGGGCTCCGGCTGCTTGCGGGACATGAACCAATAAATGACGAGGCCCACAATCAGAGAGAAGAGGAAGAGGTCCAGGTTGCTGAAGAGAGGCTCCTCTTCGCCTGCAGTGTTGGTGGCGGTCTCTGGGTCCATGTCGGCCATCTTGGCGCTCAGCGCTACAATATGAAAGAGAAGGAAAACATTTTCACTAAATGAAGGATTACTGAATACATGCAAAACACTTATCGACTATTGTGCAAGATCAAATTTTAAAAGTTTTTTTTTTTTTTTACACAAGCTACGCATTTCTGGAAATTAAGTAAGTAAATACAATCTGTTTGTTACAGCCTATTTCAGCTTCACGGCTCAACATCCCTGAGGATTCAGGAAATTCCTAAAGGGAACATGATTGCCAGCATATGTTGTAAAACACAATGAATGCTTTTATGCTAAACTTCTGGATAACGCGCCTTACATTTGGCTCTGCACAACCTAACATTGTAGCCCAGTGTCCTGGATAAGCGAGGAATCTCCAGTCGTGCACCAACGACATCAACTCGTTAACGCTGAGCAGGAGAGGACATCGTGTTCTTTCAGTTTGGGACGAGAAAACAATGAGTACAGGGTTTGTTTGTTTTTTTCCTAACCTCCGCATTTGGCTTGATCACTACTCCAAAAAGTGACACAGCAAAAGCAAACAAAAAAAAAAAAAAAGAAACATGCTGGACAAAGTGCTGGCTCTGCACATGTGCAGACTGTTGCTGATTCACTGAAACATTAAGTAAACCAGTTTATGAGGCGTCTGCTGTTCATTTTAGCAGGAGCAAAAGTCACAGTGGGCTTAGGTTGCATAATGACGTCTGGTTTGGACAAAAGAAAACTCCTTCCTGTAATTCCTGTATGGAATACGTCATTATAGACCATTCTATGGAGATATTCACTTCAGAAAAAAGATTTTCTGGATAATATTTTAGCCGTTATCCAATCTGCTGCTTGAGCAGAACAGCATATTGACATTTAATAAACAGTTAATGAACAACAACAACCCTTTTTAGCAATCTTCTGATTTACATGTGATATGTTCCAATTGTTCTGTAGTACTTTAGAGGAAAAATAGGCAAACCTTCACATTATTAATCAGACAAGACAGAATCTCGCCTTTCTCCGAGTGGACCAAACTACACTGTGAGCCAATTCAGTATCAGTCAGGCACTTAAAACCATGGGAAACAGAAGCCATTTAAAAAGGAAATTGTATTTTCCCTCAACATGTCAGAACATGTCTGATTCATTCAGGGTGTGAGAGTTGGCAGCCTTTTTACACAAAGTTCAGGTAAGAATATAGATTCTTTAGGAATACACACCAAGTGCCGTTTTAGTAATGCCAGCAATGCCAATTGGTAATACAAGATGTTAAGCTTCATAATTACTCTCCTTTTTAAAAAAAAAACAATAGGATTAAAACCCTGTTATACAGCAACTACTCTCTCATATAAGTGGTGTAACATTAGCTTTTGTCTAAAGAGAAATAGTTAGTGACAATAAACATGCCAGCAAAAAGACACTGAATACTGTCCTTACAATCCATCTTACAACTTTTTAAAACTTTACAGAAAATTCAGAAATTGGTTTCCAACTTCTGAAGTAATATAGCCAAAAAAATATTTATGCATCAGTAGAAATCTGGTCAAATTCAGGTCAAAAATCTTTATTGGCCACTATAACTACTATCAAATTTATAAAAGATATCAATACGTTTTAATTATAATTACTAATCAGTATTAAAATTTAATCGACACTGTAAGCATCTTACAGATGTAGAAATTAATCTCTCAACCAACAGAAATCTAAACTTTTTATAAAGTGATGTACCATAGGAAAAAACAACAGCGTCAATGCCAGCATTTCCTTGCTATTTTTGAACAGCGTTTGGATTTAGGTGCTTTCAGATGAACTCCATTTTGGTCTGCGGTTGCCACTAATAAATATTGTATTAATTACCGTGTGCTTTGTTGTATATGCACTACTTTGCTATTGATGCTTGTTTATACATCTGTTGTCATGGTTTCTTGTTTCTGTTTTTTTTCCTCTCCCTCTCTTTCTGCAGGTGTAGAAACAGACTTCTAAGAGTTAGCTTGTATCGTCTTTATCCATCTCCCTCTTTCCGTTTTAACTTTTTACCACAAACCTCTCTTTTTTTTCCCATTTTTATTTCAGTGCCCATAGAATTTTAAAAACCCAAAGCAATTTCAATATAGCTGGCTAGACAGAGCAATAACGCTTCACTTGTGACAGTAAATTTGTTGGGCTCCACTTTGACATGCAGACAACAATTCTGAGAGCCACAGTGCTGGACAGGACACCCTATAAGTCAAATAAAATAACAATGGTTAATACAACTATAATAAAGCTATCTAACATTTTCTTATTGTGCTAAACTTGAAGCAGAAATATAGACTTACTGGAGTTAGTAGTTGTCAGGTAAATCAGTGTAATAGTTAGAATATGTGGTTTATGCAGTTCTACTCTCAGGTTACTAGTTGTACTAAGCTTATATTAGCGAGTGGGTCTCCTGTCATGGTGACCAGTCTGCAGTCAGCTTGCCAACTGTAGTTTTAAAACCGAGCAACTTTAATAAGAGTGGTGCATGGTCCTAACTTAGTTAATGCAATGGCTGTAAATATTTCTGGACTGTCAATTCTGCCTTTCTTGTAAGCAAGAACAAGTGTAGGGATTTTTCTAACAGCCAGCAAACTATCAGTTCTCAACAACAGGTGGGGAAGGAGCAGAGCCGCATTAATACTCTAAGTTGCATACAGCCAGAGAAAAATCTGGCCACTGCAGCTCTCTCTGTGGCAGCTCACTAAAAGGACTTTAAACCAAAGACGCTGCATGAGATAAAATAAACACCATCACTACAAATGACCAAGTCATGCCAGCTAACCTCAAGCATAGTTATCTCTCCCTGCTGGATTAATTACCAACCATTTAAAGGCAACCTCGGTACACCACAGCAACAAAGTGCCATAAACCATTAGCTTACTGGTTTTCATTCATGGAGATCATAGACTGAAACCAGTAAGGTTGGTTCAACAAGGATAAGTCAGACCCATTTCAAAGACAACTCGATGTTTTCATTTATGACCCTAATCAGGTGAGGGACATAAAAAGTCAACAATACCCTCCCTGATCAGCTACATAACCTCTGCTGTTGGCTGACACGATCACAAGACAATTTGGTGGAGAGTTTAATTATTTATCACTTACCTCAGATAAATGGGTTTCTACAGCTTCTGTCAAAGCAATAATAAATATTTACTTATTAGCTAGCAGAGGCGGTTTACAGAGCGCCATCCTGCAGCTCTAAAGGAGAGAAGCAACTTTTGATTTGTCGCCAATTGTGCAACAGTCCAGACCATGACGCCGGTTTCCACCGGCTTTTGTAAAGTCCCACGTGTTTAGAGCTGCGAACCAGATTTTTTTTAAAAAATCTACAGTCACTCTTTTTTGCGTCATGTCTTCACTACTGGGAATAAAACTCGTATGTTGGATCTGAAACGAATCGACAAGGACCGGGCTATGACTAAGTCCTGGATTATGAAAAGTGGCTGTGAAAACTGCACTGAACGCAAACAAATGCATAACCGTGCTTCATACCCTGACACATAAGTGTAAATTATTCCCCTTTAACCGTGAAGCGAACCGGAGCTGCCACGAACTAATCCCCGGTTTGCGTAACACTCGGGTCTGAAGCTAACATGTCGCTAAAAAGCTCAAAACGTTTCTCCGCAGTGTGAACCTGTGACGTTGCGGTGAGTGTCGTCTCTCCCAGCAGATTGCCGCAGAGTGAAATTGTCCGTAACAGGCTAGAAAATGTGAGCAAAGAGCGAAGCTTACCTGCTGCTCTCCTCTTTGTGTTGGACTCGGACTGGACTCAATGCGGAAGGAAACTTTACGCCATGAAGGACCAAACCAACTCCGTCCAATCAGCGGGGGGTGGGTGTGAGGACTCGTCCAGTCCGAGTCACTCCGTCATACTCAAGTTTTCCCTTTTAGGGAAGTTACAGATCTATTTGTCATGTTTTAGGGTGGACGTTTTGCTTATTGTGCAAGTTTTTAATTCCTAGTTATTTGTGTTATTTTACTATTTGGGAGCGATCAGCGGGAATCTCTCGTCACATGTTATTAAATAACTGTCAAGGAGCAGCAGGCAAAGGGTCATGGTTATGCAACTCAACCAGCTGAACTGAGTTGGAAGGCAGATTCATCAAAGGCGTCCTCCTCCAAGTTAAACACTGTTTATGTTCACAATGTCAAGGACGTGAGGCTGATACAGCCCTGCTGCCTGATGTGAGGCCTTCAGCCTGCAGGCACATCTGTATTTGTTTTACTAAACTGAAATGTAAAATGCACAGCACAGTATGTAACAACGTTTAGATGTGCCTCAGCTGCACCACACCTGAATAGAATAATTAGGTCATTAGCAGGCCTCTCCACAGGAAGGAGGTAGTTAAGCCATTTCATTTCAGTGTTTTGTACCTGTGGCACATCTAAAAGCTGCAGGATAGTGGCCCTTGAGGACTGGAGTTTGACTAGTGAAAAGAGACGCTCTCTGCAGTGAGATTTTTAGCTTTTAGGTTGTTTTATAGGTGAAATGTTTCTTTCACAAATCTGCTTGTCAGTTAATTCCAGGAATCCTTATGGGACTTTCTAGGTTTCCTTTTCCTTAAAGCAAAACAAGAAAAATTAACCTTGATGTTTTTAAATTGAATTCACTTTCTACTGACACATTGAAACCTCCTTCATTTATTTTTACTTTTGAGATAGTTTTTTTTTTCAAACTGTTGTCCTTTTCACTTAAGTCAACAATAGTGCTATAATTCTGTAAAAATTACAGGGTAATTTCTTTTGAAAATGACTATTAAAAACCAATAACTTTTTCATCTTTGCAATACAACCCATAAAAACTGGTTAGGAGGTTAGATAATATACCATACAAAATAAAACTTTGGTATAGATGTGGTGCAAGAAAAAAAATCACACCTCTAACATTTGTCCAAAAAAAATTTAAAAAAATTTGGGGGAGACTTCTGACATACTTGAGATGATAAAACATAGTTCAGGTTCCTTACAAAATAAAAAGCAGGTAAACGTACAGTGAGAATCACTCGCCAACTTTAGCTTGATCAGACAACCAGGGTAGCACTGCAATACATTTTTGCTATGTCTACAATTGTGCACACATTTATTTTCAATTTACAATTTTTATACAAATAAGCAATATAAAAACATGTTCAGAGTGCAACCAAACACTAACTTAACAGTCATTAATAAAAGGAATGCTTTGTACTTTGCAATATCTCAAAGTACATTTTGTAAGACTAACAATTACATTCCTGTTTAATCCATTCCTTTATGACTGCTTCTCTATTTTATTTATTTTATTTGCATTTATTTCCACACTGCATGTGTGGTTATCCATGTAAGAGTCAAATTCAAGCTTAGATCATAAATTTTTACTACAGAGGATAAATGGAAACTGTATGATATGATCCAACAACCGTCACGCCTCTGACCTTTGTCAGAGTTCCTCAGTACAACTCATTATGCACTTTAGATCAATAATTATGTCAACTAATTACATTTTGACATGTAGAACTAACTAAGATGTTTCTTCTCTATAATACACTAATCTGGAGTTAAAGATGGCAACCCCAAACACAAGACTATGTCAAAAAAAACAAACAGTCACTCACTGGGAAGAGGATCTCTATCCTCTACTTATCCTGTCGCCACCTGATCCCTCTGGCAACTGTTCTCCTTGTGCCAGCGTTTGCAAATCAAATCATTTATTTATTGCTGGTCTTGATGTGTACCAAATTACTTCCTAAATAGACCACTACTCCTTCTGGGCATTTGACTGTAACCAATGCAATTATTCCAAACTAAGCAAACCTGGGCACTCTATATAGAAAGTACCTCATTGGCGACTCATCAAGGTGGTCACAAAATAACCAAAAACTACATCTGAAGTCTTTGAAACCTCACTTTGAGGTCAGTGTTTTCTAATCCAGTAAGCAGAGAAAGCAAGCAAAATGGCGTCCGTGAGAGGGTTCCAAGTTCAAAATCACTGCTGAACGAAAAGAATGCAAAGGTCCATCACATTTCACAAAGGTCTCCAAGACTTTTAGGAAAATATTCTGTGATTGGACAAGATTAAAGAGAAACCTCTGAGAAAATGTTGCTTCTCATTGGATCTAGTGCACAACTAACACAACATTTCAGATAAAGAATATCATAGCAACACATTCTTCATTGCTATAAACACACCCTCCCTGAACTCTCTGCCTTTGGGTGCAGAGGTTTTTTGCAACCCCTCACTGCATCCATCTAGATGCAGTGTGGGATATAATTTTTATCCTCATCCTACCTGATGCTATTTCATCTCATTACAGGGCAGCGTCCCCCCACCCCTCCTTCCTCTGGGTGAAGGGCTGCATCCTGAGGCACCTAATTGTTTGTTTGTGTGTTGTTCTTGGATGGGTTGGACTAAAATGTGAATTTCCCTCTGGGATCAATAAAGTATATTCATTTTAGTGAAACATGGTGGAGGTGGTGTGATCCTGTGGGGCTGCTTGATGCTACAGGATCGGAAAAACTTCCAAAAATCACAAAAAGAGAATATCTTCTCAAAATAATCAATGAAAATCAGATTTTGTATTTAGTCAGTTTGTTGTTGTCTGACATTAAGGTTTAAGATTTAACAGAAGAAATCTGTCAGTGGGTTTAAAAAATTCACAGAAAGATGTTTTGGTGAAAACTAAATCCTTTATTAGACAGTCATTTCATTCCTGCATTGTCATTTTCACACATACATAGGTTTCTTATTCGGAGAATAAGAAACCTATGTATTTTAACACAACCATAGACATACTTCCAGCTTTGATTTAACAGCATCATTTGCCATAGTCAATATGAAATCATATGGGTTTTTTTTTATTATATCCTGGGATGTGACAGGAAGCACGGTCAGAATTATTTTTGGTGAGACATAATTTCATTCCCATGTGTCTTTTTATCCGTCACATGCTCTTTGGTTTCGGATTCCTGCTTTTCGACTTGTGACGAACAACTGCGAGGGTAGTGAAGAAATTCCCCATGAACAGAATGAGGAAGCAGGCACCACACACCCGGACCTGACATGGCATGAATCAACAAAATAGCAGTGAATATTAATATTATAATATATTTCTATAATGCAGAGGACGATGGTGGGAAAATGTCATGCAGCTCTGAATTTTTATAGACCTTTTGTGCTTAGATTGAATTTAAGTATTAATACAGTTTTATTCATTCATTATAGTCTGGGGCTGTAAATGATGAGCATACGAAGGATAAGGTTGTTACGAAAGCAGGGAAAGAGTGACACAGCAGCATTTATCAGGACGACATGCAGCAATATCTGGTGTCTGAGTAGACTGACCTGCCATTCCCTGCAGTCTGGGAGCCGAGCCATTCTGAACAGAGACACACCATTCAAGAGCTGCCAGAACTGAAGACAAAACAAAAAGATGAAGCTCTCAAGGGAAACAGGAGAAGCATGCGTTTTAGTGGATCTTCAGTGTATATTTCCGAGTTACCCTTAAGGATTTCTTGTGATTT